GCAAAGAGATATAACCTAAGATAAGGATTGCATGCGTCTGGAAGTCAACTCCTGACTGGCTTCAGCTTTTCCCTTGGCTGCTCCAGCCATCTCCGAAAGACAATAAATGGAAGGTTCAACTCCTAAAATTAGAGGTCAATTAGATGCTTAACGATAAAACATATCTTCAAATATATATCTATTATTATTATGGTAGCAAAAAATTAATTAACCAGGTCAAGCAGGCCATGAAGGCTAATGTACAAAGTAATTATTTCTGATCTTCAGACAACTACTTCACATAAAAAGGTAGTCCTTTATTCTTCCCAGCAAATACCTGAAATGCCTACAGTTAATCATATTGAAGGAAACAAAAGGCAAGGTTTATCTTCTTAAAAGATGAGGGTACATCTTGAATGACTTTGTTCAATTGTTTAAGAACAGTCATTTCCTTGCTTATAATATTAGCATCTCTCTGGTTACTACACAGGAATTAAATGTTTCTACATATTTAATGGTGCTTTATCACATGGCAGACATACAAACACACAAAATATACCAAAAGCACACAAATATATTACAATCAATATAGAAAACACTATATGTGAAAAATATTCATATACTCTTAAGACAAAATGAAGCTCAACTGGTTTGGGGAGAAGTAAACAAGCAGTGTGTAGAATTTAAAAGAAAAATTTTTTTGTAAAGATAAAGAGTATCTGCAGGGCTGGGGTTGTGGCTCAGTGGCACAGCACTTGCCTTCCACATGCGAGGCACTGGGTTCAATCCTCAACACCACATAAAATAAATAAAATAAAGATATTGCATTTAAAAAAAAGAATATCTGCAAAGAAGCAGCAATGGAATTGGTTCAGGCTTTCAACAGATTGAATTTGCCATTCAATGTATTAGAAGATGAGGGAAGGACAGTGAATGTTGTATATTAATCATAGAGAAAACAGAGATAGCAATTTCAAGGCTCATCATAATACTCAAAAAGATGTATGTGTACAAAGTGACAAAAATCATTGGGCTGGCCCAGAAGACCAAATGCCCAAATGAAATCCCAACCATCAGTCCATTCTTAGGAGACTGGTGTTCACATATGAGAAGAGGATACTGTCTGGATAACACAAAATGCAAGTTACTTGAATAACTCTAAAACTGGGGTCTGAAGAAACATGAATGATTGGATAATACCATTCATCCCTGAAAAAGTAGGTTTCTCAAAGAGATATTTTAATGAGCTGAATTCTTTTGAAAGACTAAGTTCTAGTTGTAAAATGCCATTGTTAAATGTAGTCCTATTGACATACTATAGAAACCAAAGAATGTGGTATATTGTGTCCGTGAAGAATATCTTCTCTAGATTCAAGCATGACATGGTCAAATCAAGTTAGATGAATAAATACATGCATTAATAAAGAAATCAGGATTTATAAAACATTGTTTTCCTTAAAATAGTCTATAATTTAATAGTTGATTAAAATACTATAAGTATGCTTCAATCTGTTTTTAACTATCTGATGGATTAAAAGTGAATTTTGTTTGCCAGTTAATATAACTCATAAATAAAATGTTTTGAAATATTGGCAAGTTACTTTATACAGTGGGCAGGAAAAGGAGAATAAAATTACTAAAGCAGATATCTGTTCTTTGGAATTATAACACAAAAAATGATATTCCTAACTTCAAGGATTCATATTCCTTGACCTATTATTTTGCTTTTCATAGACTTGATAAAAATTGTGCTATTTCTGTCCTGGAAATATAAAAAACAGCCTAACTTTTTGGGGCTCCACACCAGGAGAATTATTTAATATGGAACAAATTAGAGGAATTCCCATTTTCCCCAAAGCAAAAACAGGGATTTGAATTCACAAACTAAACAGCCTCCTAAAAGATCTGTTAATATTAAAATATTTTAATAGTAATTTAAATTATTATCATGATATTTTAAATGGAAAAAAACTCATGAAAATAGTTCTCACAATCATTAATCATACTTGTTCAACACACCTTACATGGTCTTAGAAGTATCTCTTTAAAAGTTTAGAATTTATGTGGGCAAAATTACATTAAAAATTCATACTCAAGGGAGAAAAAATATGAATAAAATTATTTTCAACTACACATATAAGTTTTGTATGATTGCAAACAAAATAAGTATGGTGACTTTTACAATGCTACCTTAATTATGCTTTTTTCCTAATTCTAATGAAAAATACTGTTTTCAATATGTGTAAACCATTCAGGTTTTCATTTGTATCCATTGTAATAGAACATGATGTGTTTGTGTGCAGTTGTTACAAGAGACTAGACACTCTTTCCTTTCTTTCTATTAAAGCTTACAAATTGAAAAAAAAAAAAAACAGTACTAATTTAGAAGTCAGCATTCTAAACCAGAAGAACAATCTTGAATGTTACCACCTGATACTTGTGACCCATAACCAATTGCCATAGCTTATTCTTGCTGACCATGGTAGCTAATAGATTCTAGCACTCATGATTTTAAAAGAAAAAAAAATATCAAACTTGCTTACATTTTTTTCTTCATTTGTTTTTAGAAGAGAAATTAAGTTTCATTTTTAATCATTTTGCTTTTTTTTTCCTGTTTTGTTTTCAGATTGGAGATGCTTCTTTCTTGGGGAAAAGAATGTTTGAAGCATTCCTTAACTTTCATATGTTGTTCAAAAACTACACTAAAATTAGCCCAACAATAATTCCCCTAAATTTGATCACATCTGTGACTTGTCAAAAACCATATTTGAAACTATAGTTAACTTATTCCACTTTCAAAAAATAAATAAAATAAAATAACTAAACATCTAAATATTAAAACCTGCTTTGTAAGTGTCAGAGATAAATAAGTTTGTATAAGGAGTAAGTGTTTTTCAGCATTTGAAAAATTCTTTGAATGGTCTCATACTGATAAGATAAATACTGACAAGATAAGTCATGAAGCAGTTGCTCAGAACAGAGTGAACTATAAATATAGTCTTATTGCTTCATCTTATTTTTTTAAAATATAAACTCTTGTTATAAAGAGTCCCATTTTCTAACATAAATGTAACTCTGACATTGACTATTCTATTAAAAAACTTCTATTAAAAAGCTTCTATTAAAAAACTTGAAAAAAAAATATTCCTGTTTTCTCAAATTGAACATTCAGATGAATATTTTAAGATCATATTCTGTAGTCTTCTGAAGAAGATATCAATTGCATGCAGTCAAGTTATAACTATAAAATTGTACATGATCAATAAATACTAATAATATTTTATAAAAATAATCTGAACTGGTTGCCATTCATCTGAGGTTCTCAGTATACCACAGGAAAACATCAATTAAGACAGCCAGTCAATACAAACAATACTAGACTAAGAAATAAAATATAGTAGAAATAAGTAAAGAAGTAATAAAGAGGGAGTAAAAACATTAATAATAATTAACTGATACAAGAATATCTCTGGAAACTTCTTCCATCCTGCTTTGCAAATAGAAGACACAGAGAACTAAATGATTATGTTATTTAACACCTACTGAGTTCTTAGGGAGGAATCTAGAGAAAAATGTAGGAAGCTACAGGCTAAAAATCTTGACCTTAACAGTAGGAAATACACTGAAATTTTTAATAAGGGTAGAAGAAGGGAACGCCTGGACAGTTATTTAATTAAGGATCTCAGCATGAGTCATAAAAGCAATATCAGGATGAGAAATTATTTCAAGATTTAATTGTAGAGACTGACCATCACAAATGACAAAGACATTCTATGTTGCCTTATTTGGACTCTTTATTTTGAAACACATAAATTTTAGTGTGGACTATAGAATCAGAGCACAAACAAACAAAAATTGACTAAAACCTACTAGTGAAGTTGGCTGGGCAAAAAGCCAAATTAGGTAAAAGTACTGAAGTAGACTTCAGTAACTACTACCTGGAACACTAAAAATGACTATTAACAAAATGAAGCAAAAATCTGAGTTAAAAATCACTGGTGTTCATCAATTAGGTAAAAGATTAAACTATGACTTTATGCTTTTGATTTTTTAAATTACAGCAAGGCATGATATTAACCTTAAGAAAAGAAATAATCTAATTCAGATTATGCTGGCCCAAATAGGTTAAATCACAGATTATTGTAGGTTAGAAAAATATACAGCAACAAAGAGAAACAACAATCTGTGGTAAGTATAACTCTGGAATCAGTATTCCTGAGGATTAATCACCAAACAGTTCCTTGCTCTAGGACTTTTGAGAACGCACACAACTATGTTCCTACTCAGAAACAGAAACCACTTCTCTCACTTATCTCAGGTAGCTATTAGTTGAATTAATTAGTATGTAAAGGAATGACAGAAATCAGACCATCATCTTCCCTTCTCAGACTATTGTAATTGTGATCTAAGTAGTTTTACAGGGCCACAAGAAAAAGAAACTCTGTAAATTAAGTTATAAGTATTCAGGAACAAGTTTTTCTTCCTTTCTAGACTGTAAACTCCTCGAAGACAGACTATTATTCATTAACCTTTATTTTCCCTCAGCATCTAGAAGGAACACAGTTAATATTTGTTCAGGAACAAATAAATTATTAACAGTCTTTTCCCAGATTCTTCTCATAACTGGCCAAATCGATCCTAACAAGTAAATAAAAGTAAGCTTCTCTCCATGGTACTATTACATAATAAAACACAAAGGAGAAAATAATTTGTGACAATAAAAGTAGCATCTGTATGCTGCCTTGAAAACCAAGAAGATTTCCAGTTGGTTGTTTTTAGGCAAATGGCAGAAGAAAAAAAAAGATAAGGTTTATTCTGCTTACACATCACATAAGAATGCTTTGACCACCACCTAGTCAATATTTTTTACATCCACTTACATAATTGTGTACTGCATCCTTGAATAACAACCCTATTGGTGCTGTTTATAAGGCAAGGGTGCATTTGCAGCATTTTAAATTCCATTTTCAAGGAGGAAAGTATGTAAGTATAATCAGACAAGAGTAATAAAATACACTGACCTGGATCTGTTGCTGCAGGAGATTAATTTTGTGCTGCTGTTGCAGAAGTTGTTGCTGTTGTCTTGCAATCTATCAGAAATAAAGTTTCATTAAGTTAAAATGAAATGCTTACACCTTTGCCATTACCTCAGGTATCTCTCCTGGAATTACAGGAATGCTTTACTGCACCTCTATGTGAAAGAATTCCTATAAAATGAGAGGCAGAATCAGAAAGTTGAAAAAAGAAACATTTTGGAACAGGTGCTATCTCTCTATCTATAGGTGAAAACCACCCCTTGTATTATATTTGTGAGCAATTCACCTATATCTGTACTGGTTAGTTTGATATCATGGGACTTTGGAAATTCCATCCTTATAAGGACAGGAAAACTCTGGCCACATTGTTCTAAAGAGTTTAATTTGGGTGTAAAAAGTAAAATCTGTAAGCAAAGACAAGAAAAAGCTTTCTATTACTGTATAATATCATCTACTTTGAAGAAACCTTTTATGATGGAAAGATCTTTAGCACTGATATGCTTAAAAATATTGTCAAATATTGCCATTGTAAAGAGTTAAAAAATGTTAGCTGTGTGCAGGGTGCATGCCTATAATCCCAGCAGCTTGGGAGGCTGAGGCAGGAGGCTCAAAAGTTCAAAGCCAGCCTCAGCAAAAGCGAGGTGCTGAACAACTCAGTGAGACTCTGTCTAAATAAAATTAAAAAAAAAAAAAAGGTCTGGGGATGTGGCTTAGTAATCAAGTGCCCCTAAGTTCAATCACTGGTACCTCCCCAAAAAAGAGCTTAAAAATGTTTAGTTTTTCTGTTGATGTTATATGTATCTGCAAAGCATTTGAAACAGCTGTAATTTAACATTTATCCACTTATTCTTTCCAGGGGACTATGCTTATTTTACAGTAAAGGATCCACATATAGGTTTTACATTCCTTTTGCCTCACCCAACAATCTAATTCAACATCTTAACATATTATCTGCTCTAACAAACAAATATTAACCATTTAATGCAAGCCCTGTAAGAAGAAAGAATCTGCCCCTCAGGAGGGCAAACAAGGTCCTTAGCATAATGGTGTTTACTACGAAGCATGAGTTAGGCATCAGGCTGCTTATTGCCTCTGAAATGGAGCTGCTACAGTTTGAAGTCCAGGGAGATGCTCCTTATTTGGAACATACTCACTGCTAACCAAAGCCAGAGAGAAAAGTGGCCAAAGAACACTTATTGAAGAATTTGGTTTAGTGGAGCCTGGTAGGCAAGTGCTAAAGTCTTGTCTTTTCATTTCTTCTTATTCCAAAAGCCAGTGTTCTAGAATAAGATATGCTGGAAGTGAAGATGTAAATCAGTCCCAGGCCCCAGCTATATTCTTCCGGAACTTTTTTGACTCTCTAACCTAATGCAGGGGGAATGCCCCAAACACATCTCATTCAGTGTAAAATGACACAATATAGCAGTCTGCTCCCAGATGTTGTTTTCTGATTTCTGGCAATAACTGGCTCATACTGGAATGTGTGGAAAAGCTGCTCCTGACATAGACTTCAGTTTGAGAAATGGAGCTACTCCTTCCCAAAGCTTTATAGACAAAATGGAAACAGTATTTAATCAGGTTGGAACAGCCCACTCTGCTTGTCACTACTCAAATCAGAAATGGACAACTCACTCTGCAGCTCCAGGTATAGATGCTGGATCCTTTGAATATTTATTTCTTCTTAGCAAACTAGTGAAACACCACTAGGCATCTAATATTGATGGCCCCTCCTAAATGATAAAGTGCTGCATAGAAATGCATCCAAAACACCACAGTGCAATTACTATCATCCACTCTAGACGTATGGGTTTGACACAGTGAAGTATGGTACATAAGCACCATGTGGCTCAAATTCTGAATTTTATTTGCCAATCGGTTGAGCTACATGCTCGCTTCATTGAGCATGACAACCTAGTTTTAAGTGTCATTTAATTTTCATTTTGAAATATAATTACAAAGTGTTCACTGTAAGATATCACTCGTCTGCAAATGTGTCAAGATTAATTTGTGCTAGCTTATTCACAAGTGTCAATAGTTAATTACTGTGTCATCTCTGGATGGCTAAATGACATTCTAACTTCTGATTTTTTACAGTGTTCCTTTATGTTATTTTCCATTAGGGGCTGAGTCCATATTCCTACATGTGGGCAAATATTCAAGCATATAAAATACCAGACGTCACAACTCATTAAAATCAACAGAGCATATATTGCTCTATATACCCCTATAAAATACATTTAACTGAAAAGATAATTCCAGTAATAATGTCAGATTCCTAAAAACTGCACATTAATTTGGGTCTGTATGATCTAAAGCATCAGGGACTACTCTATAGGATCATTGTTGTTAGATTAATGTACTCTATGAGACAAGAAAAACATTTGGGAAAGTGATTTATTTTTTAAAAGATATACATTTAAACTTTGCTATTTTTTTCTTTGCTTTTATTTCTAAGTCAATCAAGTTGAATTCTTTTAGGAACCATGTGCTAATTTGTTTTTAATGATTTACCTATGCTATAAATAGTGGCCATGTGATTTATTATCCAAACAAAGATAACTTTAGTGAAAAGGGGTAGGGCATTAATAACTATCCTGGAAAACAAGCATAAACCAGGGATATTGGGAGCAAACCATGATATATGTTCACACTAGCTTCAAAGCCAGAGAAAAATCATTGGATCAGTGAGCCAAAAGATCCTCAAAGTTTTTCTAGAACGGACGTCCCTTTTACTGGCTAAAAGTAAAGCCCAGAGAAGTCACTTACCTACAATTTAACTACATTGGGATTACCTGCCATGCCTATAAGAAAGAGTATGCCTGAGTAATTAGTCAAATCCAAACCTTCTGAAACAGTATATTATCTAAGTTAGTTAGCCCCGTTGCTATGATGCCTTTCTTTATTCTCCACAAATCTCCTCAGTTTTCCTGAAGATTGTAGACTTCCAGAAGGCTTCTTTTTTACCTTCCTCTTTCCTTTTTAATTTTTTTTTTTTTTTTTTTTTTTTTACTCTTTCCTTTATTTATTGTAAGCTTTCTTCAATCAATGTGACTACTCTCTGAGCTTGGCACCTTCCAAATCCCTAGTTCGGCAGCTCCTTTTGCAGGGCTCACCTGTTCTTGCTGTTGGCGAGCAAGGTCCATTTGCTGCCGTTGTTTCTCAATTTGCGAGGCTGCCAGTTTTTTCTGTTCATCGTGCGCTGCCAGGAGCTGCTCCCGTAAACTGATCAGCTGGGTAATCATGGTGGAGAGCTGCCTTTCTTTTTCTGCCAGGCTCTCAGGTGTACCTAAAATGGAAGTGAGAAGAGATCTTCACAAGCTTGAGGAATATCTGAAGGAATCAGGGAAAAAGGCAGATTTTAGAAAGGGACTCCCTTAGACACTTGAAGATCTAGGACAATGACTATAAACTATTGTGAGCTCAGGAATGCCACAGGGTAATTATAGCAATGGAATGAATGCTGGGTTCATCATTGTCCCTGCCAAGAAAAACTACTGTCACCATAAAATTCTAATGTAATCTTCCCCTCTACCTCTAAAAACAAAAGTAAAGCATAAATATCTACCATATTCTCTCCTTTCTACCACACTACCCTCAATCTATCTGACCAAGCTAGGAAACCTATAAATTCATCACCAAAGATCTGCAACTATGAATTATATTAGCATTCCATAATCACTTCTATCCTTAGCAACTAACACAGTATCAATAGCTAAGACATTGGAGGTGCTTAACAAATGTTTTTAAGGAATTTTATGGTCATTGCCCTCAATTTTTCTCTATTGTTCAAAGATGTGTCTCTGAAGTTCAGAAGTCAGGGGTCAATCTCTTGATCATGGAGTGAGTTCTACTGAGAATAAAAACTGTCTCAGGTAAGAAGGGATTGAATGTGATTTTTTTTTCCCTACGAAGGGATCAAGCTAAAGTCCCCAAGTTCATTCTTAAAGACCACAATGTTGCTTGGGGGGCTCTCTCACCCCTTTGCCATTCATCATTCTTCAAAAAAAAAAACCACATTTCGAGGTTGAAAAGGTTATGCATAAGGATATACTGTTTAATGAATATGATGTTGCTGAACACTTATGGTATGCACTAATGGTGCTGAACAGTCTTTTTATAGACAAATTGCACAGCTCTCCTAAGTAAAGGGTACAGAATCCTTTTGTGAATCTAAATTAGAGCATTTTACTGCAGCATAAGATAAGAATTTCAACCTACTGTATTTGAGCCACACAGGTTTCATTATGAAGAAATGATCTATGATTTGAAAGCTTTTCAGAAAGATGCCACTAGCTGTCAAAGGGGACAAAGATTGCCAATTTTTGTATATGTGGAAGGAAGACTTCCAACCTCTTTATGAAACCCTCCTTATTCCTGTTAAGAAAGCAGCAGAACAATCTGAGAAGCTAAAAATATTTTAATTATGAATGGCCCAAGGAGAAAACTTATCTTCAGAGGATGTTGGCTAGCATTTGGCTAGTGCATGTTTCCCACAAAATAAGGATGATCTTGGCAAAGAAGCTACCTTGGGATTATTAATGTCAACCCAGGTCCTTAAAATAAAAGAGCTATCTATATCCTTTTATAAAACCACTGAGATAAAAGAGTACCTAAAATCAAAATTCAAAGAAAAGAAAAATAGCAAGAAGTTAGAAAGCATATTCCCCTGAAAAGGAAAGAAATACTGTAACAAGGCTGGTAACCAGATATTCTTTCTAGCTCCAGAATTGATTAAAATGTGTTTTTACTACAGCAATAGGTAAAAGGAAAAACTTCTTGATCCAGAATCATTAAATCACAAAAATGTAAAAGCAGTTTCCCTAAGGAGATTATAAAATCTCTTCAAAACCATTGAGAAGCTCACTAATGTACATGTCAATGTATACAGGAACAAGAAGATACAAGACAAAAAATGTATTTGTTTACTTATTTCATTAATTTTTAATTCCATAATATATCCTGAATGGTAACTGTGGGTCAGGTACTATAATATCAAGTAACCATAGGTATAAAAGTACACTACAATTAAAATAAGAATTAAAGACAAGACAAATATTTTGGAGGAGCTTTAACCAAGTTTGGAAGGCCCAATTTCAAGGAAGGTAACCTGAAAAAGTAATAAAGAGGAGAATGAATAGGAGTTATCTAGGCAAAGAGTTGGAGAGTGGCTTGATTGAGGAGCTTTCTAGAAAATATGAACATTGCTGTGGTAAAGGAATTACAATCGAAAAAAAGGATTATTGGAGGGTGGCTGGTGGTCAAGGAACTTTCCAGGAGAAGCAAACAATATAGGCAGAGGACCTCTGTGTATATTGGGGACGGGGATGTGTGGGGTTTTGAATTCTAATAATTTAAAACAGCTAAAGTATTTTAAGCAAGAGTAATGTGGTCATTCTGGCTGTGATGTGGTGGGGGTGATTGAAAAGTTATGAGGTAAATGGAATATGGGCACTTTTTATTACATATATTTTGTGCAGTATTCTAATCTACATTTAATTTTCTTGTTATACCTATCAATATAAGGTGGGTTAAGAGAAGGCTTATTAGATACTAGGGTAGTTTCTATACTTTATTGCCCTATTAATAAAGAGCTTCCACTGGACATTTGGGAAAGGGTCAATACAAGAATTGAATATGATATTTAGATTTCCCAGTAAAGATTGGATAATTTTCTCTTCTCCTACCTGAACATGGGAGAATAACGTCTTTTCAATTATCTTTGATTTATTGCCCTTCCTCCTCTGCATGGGAAACACAGAAGCTAAGGATAATATAGAAATGACTTC